GTACAGATTACCTACAGGAGATGAAGACAACCAACAGGAAGCAACAGTCATTCAGTTCTTACCTCACAACTCCACTGATCTATAGACTATGTGATAAGATCAGTAAAAGGAAACTTCGTTTTAAGCAATCCAACCCTTTCCGATCTATGAGACGCACGTTAGAGGTTGCCCTTAGGCACAGACCTAGGATCAGCTACCGTCCTCAAATCCTAATCGTTACCATAGGGGAAAACGTGAAACTGAACTTCAGTGTCTAGTGAGGCAACGCCATCCTAATGGCCACTGACCTGTGTTGATGTGCTGGCTGGGCTTGCTGGTGTGCATGGGGCTGTGGCAGGCAGGCAGGGGTGGCTGTGGTGGTCCCTGTGGTGGGATGATTCCGGTGCGTGTGAAGAACTGGTTGATGGAGGAGCACAGGTCTGCTATCTGGGCCGGGTCCAGGGACCAGTTGTTCAGCGCCGCCTGCCTCATGCTCTCCTTCAGTCCTGTCATAGACACACACAGACAGGGGGTCGTTCTCATTTCACTAGTCCTTAGTGCCTTCCTCTTCTCCTAGTCTCCTTTCCCTCACCTGCACATGACAATCATACCCATAGCATGATGCTGCCACCACAATACTTGAAAATACAGATGGTTTCACTCTGTGTTGTATTTGACCCAAACCTGTAGTTTTTTATTTAGCCCATTCACGTCCTTGTACTATGTTTAGTACAATATCAAAATGCACCTAGACAGTTTTAAGATTAACACTGAAAGTATGATCGATAATAACAATCAAAGTTACAGTTGAGAGAAAAATAATATACAGTGGGGAGAACAAGTATTTGATACACTGCTGATTTTGCAGGTTTTTCCTACTTACAAAGCATGTAGAGGTCTGTAATTTTTATCATAGGTACACTTCAACTGTGAGAGACGGAATCTAAAACAAAAATCCAGAAAATCACATTGTATGATTTTTAAGTAATTAATTTGCATTTTATTGCATGACATAAGTATTTGATACATCATAAAAGCAGAACTTAATATTTGGTACAGAAATCTTTGTTTGCAATTACAGAGATCATACGTTTCCTGTAGGTCTTGACCAGGTTTGCACACACTGCAGCAGGGATTTTGGCCCACTCCTCCATACAGACCTTCTCCAGATCCTTCAGGTTTTGGGGCTGTCGCTGGGCAATACGTACTTTCAGCTCCCTACAAAGATTTTCTATTGGGTTCAGGTCTGGAGACTGGCTAGGCCACTCCAGGACCTTGAGATGCTTCTTACGGAGCTACTCCTTATTTGCCCTGGCTGTGTGTTTCGGGTCGTTGTCATGCTGGAAGACCCAGCCACGACCCATCTTCAATGCTCTTACTGAGGGAAGGAGGTTGTTGGCCAAGATCTCACGATACATGGCCCCATCCATCCTCCCCTCAATACGGTGCAGTCGTCCTGTCCCCTTTGCAGAAAAGCATCCCCAAAGAATGATGTTTCCACCTCCACACTTCACGGTTGGGATGGTGTTCTTAGGGGTTGTACTCATCCTTCTTCTTCCTCCAAACACGGCGAGTGGAGTTTAGACCAAAAAGCTCTATTTTTGTCTCATCAGACCACATGACCTTCTCCCATTCCTCCTCTGGATAATCCAGATGGTCTTTGGCAAACTTCAGACGGGCCTGGACATGCGCTGGCTTGAGCAGGGGGACCTTGCGTGCGCTGCAGGATTTTAATCCATAATGGCGTAGTGTGTTACTAATGGTTTTCTTTGAGACTGTGGTCCCAGCTCTCTTCAGGTCATTGACCAGGTCCTGCCGTGTAGTTCTGGGCTGATCCCTCACCTTCCTCATGATCATTGATGCCCCACGAGGTGAGATCTTGCATGGAGCCCCAGACCGAGGGTGATTGACCGTCATCTTGAACTTCTTCCATTTTCTAATAATTGCGCCAAAAACAGTTGTTGCCTTCTCACCAAGCTGCTTACCTATTGTCCTGTAGCCCATCCCAGCCTTGTGCAGGTCTACAATTGTATCCCTGATGTCCTTACACAGCTCTCTGGTCTTGGCCATTGTGGAGAGGTTGGAGTCTGTTTGATTGAGTGTGTGGACAGGTGTCTTTTATACAGGTAACGAGTTCAAACAGGTGCAGTTAATACAGGTAATGAGTGGAGAACAGGAGGACTTCTTAAAGAAAAACTAACATGTCTGTGAGAGCTGGAATTCTTACTGGTTGGTAGGTGATGAAATACTTATGTCATGCAATAAAATGCAAATTAATTACTTAAAAATCATACAATGTGATTTTCTGGATTTTTGTTTTAGATTCCGTCCCTCACAGTTGAAGTGTACCTATGATAAAAATTACAGACCTCTACATGCTTTGTAAGTAGGAAAACCTGAAAAATCGGCAGTGTATCAAATACTTGTTCTCCCCACTGTATATATATGACTTTAGCATATGTACACTGAACAAAAATATAAACACAACATGTAAAGTGTTGTTCCCATGTTTCATGAGCTGAAATAAAAGATCCCAGACATTTTTCATATGCACAAAAGCTTATTTCTCTCAACTTTTGTGCACAAATTTGTTTACATCCCTGTTACTGAGCATTTCTCCTTTGCCAAGATAATCCATCCACCTGACAGGTGTGGCATATCAAGAAACTGGTTAAAAAGCATGATCATTACACAGGTGCACCTTGTGCTGGGGACAATAAAAGGGCACTCTAAAATGTGCAGTTTTGTCACACAACACAATGCCACAGATGTCAAGTTTTGAGGGAGCGTGCAATTGGCATGCTGACTGCAGGAATGTCCACCAGAGCTGTTGCCAGATAAATGAATGTTAATTTCTCTACCATAAGCCGCCTCCAACGTAGTTTTAGAGAATTTGGCAGTACGTCCAACTGGCCTCACAACCGCAGACCACATATAACCATGCCAGCCCAGGACCTCCACATCCGGCTTCTTCACCTGTGGGATCATCCGAGACCAGCCACCCAGACAGCTGATGAAACTGTGGGTTTGCACAACCAAAGAATTTCTGCACAAACTGTCAGAAACCATTTCAGGGAAGCTCATCTGCGTGCTTGTCGTCCTCACCAGGGTCTTGACCTGACTGCAGTTCGGCGTCGTAACGGACTTCAGTGGGCAAATGCTCACCATCGATGGCCACTGGCATGCTGGAGAAGTGTGCTCTACACGGATGAATCCCGGTTTCAACTGTACCGGGCAGATGGCAGACAGCGTGTATGGTGTTGTGTGGGCGAGCGGTTTGCTGATGTCAACATTGTGAACCTCTCCAAGGTGTTGGAAAAAGTGGTTGCCATACACCTCCAGGATCATCGCAATCAAAACAACCTGTTTGAGAAATTCCAGTCTGAGCACAGCGTTCGACACTGTCGACCACTCTATCCTCCTCGAACGCCTCCGGGACACCATCGGACTCTCTGGACCAGCCCTTAGTTGGTTATGCTCCTACCTCTCTGTCAGAACAGAGTATGTCTCGCTAGCTGAGTCCAGGTAACAGATCCACCCAGTCACCTGCGGAGTAGGGATGGCCATTTGAAATAATTTCACTATTAGAATAATATAAAATTTTTGGGGATACCCAGCTAGTCAAATCGATGTAAAGAAGCTAGCTAAGATAGCCAGATGTTAGCTAGCCAGCTAGCTAGCTAGGCTAGTTGAGGTTATTTTGCTGCACACCCCATCCTTGTCTACAACAACTCCATTCAAATTAAACAACAGCCTGAATGTCGGTTGCTCATTGTAGCCTACTCCTTCCCATTTAGCTAACTTAATTCCGTAATTTTAATTCAATTTTGCATTGATTAGAGATCTCCCACTTCATGTGGTCCTCTGTAGCTCAGCTGGTAGAGCACGGCGCTTGTAACGCCAAGGTAGTGGGTTCGATCCCCGGGACCACCCATACACACACAAAAAAAAAAAATATATGCACGCATGACTGTAAGTCGCTTTGGATAAAAGCGTCTGCTAAATGGCATATTATTATTATTATTATTATATTATTATTATGTTGCTACACATGGAGGCTCTGACGGTAGTGCCAACAATAAGCTACATGCGGTCCAGCAATCACCCATAACCCACCTCACCATTGCAGGCCAGAACATCCCCATCTCACCCTCAGTCTACAATCTGGGCGTTAAGCCGAACTCCTCTCTGACCTTCGACGATCACATCAAACATCTGTGCAAAGCATCATTCTTTCACCTTAAGAATATTGCCAAACTCCGTCACACCCTTACTCAGTCTGATGCTGAGAAGCTCATCCATGTCTTTGTCTCCTCAAGGCTGGACTAATGCAACGCACTCTTCATCGGGATCCATGGCAGGAGTCTCTAGAAGCTCCAGTATATTCCGAACAGCGCTGCCAGGATCCTGATGAGTGCAGAAACACTAACACATCACCCCCTTCCTGGCATCTCTGCACTGGCTCCCCGTCTCAATCAGAATCAAGTTCAAAACCCTCCTGCTGACATTCCAGTGCATCCATGGCAATGCCCCTCCGTACCTCAAAGAATTGCTCGTATCCCATAACCCCACCTGCAATCTCAGATCGAGTGATAGCCTGCTCCTCCACGTTCAAGCTTTGCTCCATGGGGGATCAGGCTTTCTGCTCGACCGCCCCCCGCCTCTGGAATGCACTCCCGGACCACCTGGAGGCATCACAGACTCTACACTCCTTTAAAAATGGCCTACCCTCCTCTTTAGGAAGGCCTTCCATTAGATATAGCTGTGTTCCTTGATGTCCTTGACCCTTGTAGCATCAACTATGTTATTTCTGTGAGATTCCCTAGTTGTGTCCTTTTTTTTGTCTACGTCTCTTGTTTTTATTTATTGTAATGCACTCACTGTAGCACTTTGAGAACGTTTTTCAATGAAAAGTGAGTTATAAATTCAATGCATTATTATTATTATTATTATTATTATTCCTATGAGTGTGACAGAAGACATTATAAGAGCATTATACACATGGTGGTCCAAAGAAAGTGTTACCACCATTTCTTCTCTTTAGGATTATGCAAGTCTGTGTTACCGTGGAATGGAGAGAGGTCCACGTCAGCCCAATTATAGCTGCTGGCAATGCGACAGCTCTCCTTCAGCCAGTCTAGGTTGGGGTACCAGTCGGCGGACAGACCTGCGCAGACACACACACACAAACACACTGCAGTGATTCCTCCCGATTTCTTCGAAGACAAATAATTTCAGGTAGGGGGAGTGGGCAATAGAGCTAAACAGGGGCTAGGTAGGAAGACTACGTAACGGTAGGGGAAATGTTAGTCACGTCCACCAGCCAGCTCTCTATAATGTTGTAGCAATTACCCTGGGGACGAGGTTAGGGAAATGTTGACAAGAGCATGGTGCTGTAATCAACAGAGTGGCAGCCAAGGACCATCAGAAGTAATGTAATGTTTGAGTCAGATGCAGTGATGCGTTTGACCACAAGATGTTGTATTTTCACAGAGGAAATTGAAATCACAGACATTAGTGAAGAGGAACGATATTCTGCCTTTCATCTCAAACCCAAACGGCAACACATTTGAAGCTGTGGATCAAAGACAGGGGATTGCTTTTATTCATCCCAGCCACTGTGGAGGGAGAACTAACCCAGATAATGGAGCGTCTATTTGTATAGGCCTTTTCTCTGAGCCGAAAGCACAGTGCAGAGACACAGGAAAAACAAAGACTAGTCTAGGCAAATGAACGACGTCGGTGAGGTTCAGAAACGCCAGCTTCACACAGCGTAATGAGCTTTGAGGAGTAGCAGAAAAACAAACTACAAAGCTAATATAATCAGTGTTGGGGAGTATTGAACTACATTTCGTTCAACTAGTAATTAAACTACATTTTGCAGTAGCTTGGTGGTAGTTCAACTAAATTCAAATCTAGGTAGTGTTTTCAGTAGTTAATTACTTTTTTGCCATGTAACGGTTTAGCTAACTACTGGAACTACACACTGTTTGAGACCTGCCTAATTCTCACTTGAAACATAGTTTTTGTGTTTAATAGGCTAAATTAAACATTCTGTTAACATATGATCCCAAAATTAACTGTTCTTGCACAGTGGTCTAAGGCACTGCATCACAGTGCTAGCTGTGCCACTAGAGATCCTGGTTCGAATCCAGGCTCTGTCGCAGCCGGCCGCGACCGGGAGACCCATGGGGCGGCGCACAATTGGCCCAGCGTCGTCCAGGGTAGGGGAGGGAATGGCCGGCAGGGATGTAGCTCAGTTGGTAGAGCATGGCGTTTGCAACGCCAGGGTTGTGGGTTCGATTCCCACGGGGGTATGAAAAAAAATAAAAAATAATGTATGCACTCACTGGATAAGAGCGTCTGCTAAATGACTAAAATGTAAATGTATAGTCTATGACATTTCAGATTTAGATATGAACATTTTTCACAAAGTAGTTAGGATGTAGTGAACTACTTTCTCAAAGTAAACTATATTTTTCTTAAGGGTAGCTTAAGTGTAGTTTAACTTCTTCCAGTGTGAAGTAATTGGTAGCTTGGTAAACTATATTTTCAGAGTAGCTTCCCCAACACTGAAAATAATGGAATCCATGCAGAGCATGTAGATATCAATGCTATGTATAGTAAGGGACTAGCATTTAAGGATAGCCGCTGTTCCTGAGGCCTGCCTTTAGCTCCAGACACACCGCCACGGTGAACAGCTAAAAGCAGAGTGACAGTCCTATCGCTTGCTGTCGCCGCGGTATGTTATAGCGACCTCCTGCTGGTTGACGACAAGTGGTGGCTGTTTGCGCTGATTCAACATATAGAATCGGTGGGAAATTAATGGAAAATGATGGCCAATAGTCTAGTCAGAAGCACTCTGCTGTCCATCATTTGGGCGTGTTTACTCTCTGACAATACAGTACTATGTATAGTAGTGTGTACTGTACAGTCATGTCTTACAAGTGCTGGTGCAGGGCATCTGTGGTGGCTGGCCAGTATGGTGCTGGGACTGCTGCCCACTGTTGGGGTGCTGGCTGTGTTGAGGGTGCTGCCCATGTTGAGTGTGCGTATGAGATTGATGTTGGTTGTGCGTCACGTGGGGAAAGAGGTGCTGCGAGAGAGGCGGGTGGTGGTGGGGGTGGCTATGAACATGACCGTGGTTGTGTTGGTGGCTGTGGGGGTGGGTGTCGCCGGGGGAGTGCTGATAGGAGCACGACGTCCGTGGCTGCTGGCTCAATTCACTGGGCATACCCATGATACCTGTGGGGCCAACCACACACACAGACAGACAGACGGACGGACACAGACAAACAGACAGAGAATTACTAGCCATTCTGCCTACCTGTAAATCATTTTGCTTATGCATTTTCCTTGAATCTCCTTTTGATTCTTCAGTGTTTGTTGTTTGCAGTAACTTCTTTGTTGTTGTAATATCACAAACGGACGTGGCAATTTCACCATTAAGGATTGCAGCTTTAAAACTATGTTCATATTATTTTGTATTTTCCTTTTTGGAAAAATAAATACACCTATGCTACTACAGTGCAGCATGTGACCGTGACTGATGCCGAGATGTTGTCTCTAATAAATGATAGTGAAGCAAACCGGGGGAATTTCATTCGGATGGTTTAAGGAAATGTACTCTTTGTAGGCGCGTGTGTATTATCTGAACTGATCTCTGTTTTACCAAGCCAGGAATTCTCACTGAAACTCTGAGGGTGGCACTTCAATAGTCTAAAGTGGCCTCCTCTCCTTGTGTCCTTTACCTTCATTTGCACTGGCAGGAATTCATCTGTCTTTCACAACACAGCTGGAAAGGAGACGAGGAGAGGAGTAGTCAAGTTGTTTGCGATTCACCCTGACTGAGTCAGTCCACATCCGTCACGTGGTCTAGACACGTTGTTGTTTTCTAGGGAGGGTGAGGAGCTCGGCTGCTTGGGTGACTCACTGCATTTCAGCCTCCAAAAGGCAATGACTACTGACGCCGTTCCTTGGGTAGAAGCATGCAAGGCAGTGAGCTTCACTCTGCCTAGGTTGCGGGGGCCATAAAAATAGAATGGAACACAGAGCGACATTTTCTTCACGCAAAAGCGCACAGATCAGTGCAAAAAATACCATAAACCTAATTTTAATCTGGCAGCGTGATTTAATTTGTACCATTTAAATTTATATAACAATGTACGATAAGGAGGCGATTTACTTAACTCGACTAGAGTTCACCAAACTGAGCAATGCATAAATAGTTGCCTCCTTTAATTAATGCACATTAACGCTAGGGGTGTAACGGTACACATATTTGTACCATACCGGGGACCTCGGTTTGGTCAGCACTGTGAAAGTACATAAAAATATATATTTACTAAATTAAAACACTAGGCCTACAGGCTATTCCTATGCTGTGTTGTAGGCCTATGCCTTTTGAGTAGTTCTGTACGATGGCGAGTGGTGGGGTCAGTAAACCAGAATGGGAGGATCCTCCATCATCCTTTAAATCGCCACATTTTGGCTTCCCAGTAGATTACAACGCTGATGGACAGAGAGTTGTGGATAAAACGTTAACAGTATGTCGCCACGCTCAACCAGAATAGTCTATGCAGCTGCCAACACCTCAAATGTTAACACATTTACGCCGACATCACCCCAGTATGCCGGAGCAAGACGGAAACACAAAGAAACAAAACAAAATCGTCTCCCCTCTGCATTGAAGCAGCCCTTGGCAGCTGATTCTGATCGGGCCAAATAAATAATAAGACCAATAGGTAGTCTATGTTTATATATTTTACAGTCTTTGGTTTATAGCTGCGGATATACGCCCATTCTCGGTGGTTGAGAATAGGGTGTTTCAGCATCTCGTGAAAGTGCTGGAGCCACGTTACGAACGTCCCTCTTGCACTCACTTCAGCAAACAGGTAGTACCAGCTCTATAAAAGCAAGCCAAAGCCAAAGTTTTCAATGAATTGGCCAATGAACCCTGTGAAACACAACCAAAACAAACTGCAAATGCATCCAACAAGTTTGTAGAGTCACAAGCTTGATGTACAGTAGTCATTGCGTGCTAGGAATATTGGACCAAATACTAAAAACTTTTGACTACTTTAATACACATAAGTGAATTTGTACAACTATGTACAAAAAGTGCTGTAATTTATAAACGGTTCACCTGATATGGATGAAAATACCCACAAATTAAAGCTGAAAGTATGCACTTTAAAGCTCCAATGCAGACGTTTCTATCTCAATATCAAATAATTTTTGGGAAACAATTAAGTACCTTACTGTGATTATTTTAAATTAAAATGGTCAAAAACAAAAATAGCTTCTTAGAAAACTAGCTGTTATTGGTCTATTGACTAATTTATCATCTGGTGATGTCACCAGGCAGACCAAAACTCCATCCCACCACAACAGGCTGAAATTGCAGGTGGTCTTTTCAAATATTATCACAATTTCACAGTATTATTCCAACCTCATAGTGTGGAAGTATATAAAACACAGGATAATAAATTTTTTGACTGCACTGGGCCTTTAACCTCAGAGTCATTGTATCATTTAAAATCCAAAGTGCTGGAGTACTTACCTGACAACTCAAACTGAATTCTTCCTCTGCTCTATCATTCGCTACATACTTCAGTCTGATACTGCTATAATTGAAATTGTTTGTGGTGGCGTCAAAATGAGGGGTGTTGTAGAAAACAAAGTAATCAACGATTGGATGATCTCTAACCTATCAGAGTATCAAAGCCAATGATGAATGTTCAAAACGCCGCTTTAGCCACGTGTGTTATGGTTCTGGCCCAACCCATCGGTTGCTGGGACCAATCAGACGGTCTAGAAAGGATTTCCATTCTAGAAATCATCTGGGAGGTACTCAGATCCAGACTCATTGCGGAGAAGAAACTAACGTCCGTTGGCGTGGCGTAGCGTTTGGCCGGAGCAATTTCATAATTGTATTGTTGTACACAATTCAGCTCGTTGCTGCGACTTGTACAATGTTTTTTTTTTAAACAATAAAAATAAACTATTTTTAAAGGTTGATTTCAGGCAAAAGTGAGGCGATCGACAGAGCGTGTCCATGTCTGGGGTTAAAGAAGGTGGATCGTAACACAAGCAGGAGGAAGCCTGTTGACCCAATAGGATGCTGCAGGAAGCAATTACTTAGAAGCGTCACAATCTAGTAGCAAGTTTCAAAGCTACTTCCCCTTGATTGCTTTTGCTCGTTTGACTGAGTAGCGCAACGATTGTAGATCTGTGGCACAAATTATTATTTGTTTAAGTACAAAAGAGGAATTCACACTAAAACTTGTATTACTGTTTAACGTAAGTGTCCAAACTGTGGTGTAGGAGATTACCTTGTGCTTTTAGCTAACCTGTAAAATAATTATGTAGAAAAAGCATGCGTTTCATTCCCACTAGTGTTTCCCACACTGTTTTCTCATCAACCGGGTATGACGTTAGCTGTGCACGTGCTTGTTTCCTTTCAAATACTTTGAAGGCGTTTGATAGAGCTTGTTTGCACCAAGCAGGCTCATCTAAAACACTATTTCAAACCGGTCTGCTTCAGAGTGCTGTTTCCCTTGACCCACCTTGCTGGCTGAAGGACTGCTGAAAGACAGACTTGTAGAGGCTGCGGAAGGAGACACTGAGGTCCTCGAAATCAGAGAAGAGGAGCAGCTTGTCCCGCTCGGCCACACTGCACTGGGGTTGGGGAGGAGGAGGGAGAGGAGGCTGCTGTAGACTCAAAGAATGGGAGGAGGGCTCCGAGTGACTACTGACCTACAGAGAGAGAGATAGACAGAGAGAGACCGAGAGAGAGAGAGAGAGATACTCACTTATTTTCATTACTTTAGGTCCAATCACTAAAAAGGCTGAATTCTAACTTGAGATATCCACACTGTGCCTGTTTTGGGCATGGTAATGGTAAACATGTGTTCAGTATCCCGGTCTCCTACTGGTCATTCACCCTTCTAACACGAGAGCCTAGGCCGATTGTACCTATACTCATGGGTGTCTGACTCTGTCTGAAAGTGGGGGTACAAATAATGTTTTATATTTGTAAGTTTTGCCACAATAAATGAACTTGAGTACTCAAAAGATAAAAAGAATCTAGGCCAGAAAATTTTTTTGTGCATTTATCTATATGACAACAGTGTGCAACAATGCCTCATTTATCATAACCATTACAGATAACAAATCCTAATTGCTAAAATGCCCAATATATATTCAGCAAATAAAAAAACAAGTGCCATTTAAGATTGATTTATTGAAACCTTAATATCAACTGGTTATATTATTCAAAAAAGCAGTAACCTCACCAGTGGCGCTTGCTTGTAGAAGTCTATGGCTGTGCAATGACATATCCTTGTTTTGTTAATTTAGCAGACGACACTCTTATTTCCAGAGCCCTTATCACAGTCAAGCCACACCTCATTTATAGTAAAAAACATGATGTAATATAACAGAATAAAATCGAACAGAATACTTTTCCAAATGAAAAAAAGTTGCCAGTGCGAAGTGATGCGCATCTCGCGTCGGTAACAGTTATTCTCAAAGAGTGATCATTTGAAACTGAGCTCAATTTGGCGAGTAAAAAAATAATCTGATTTACAAACAAAGACATCTGGAGGAAACAGGTACAAAAGTATCTATATCCACAGTAAAATGAGTCCTATATCGACATAACCTGAAAGACTGCTCAGCAAGGAAGAAGCGACTGCTCCAAAACCGCCATAAAAAAGGCAGAATACTGTTTGCAACTGCACATGGGGACAAAGATCGTACTTTTTGGAGAAATGTCCTCTGGTCCGATGAAACAAAAATAGAACATCGTTATATTTGGAGGAAAAAGGGGGTTGCTTGCAAGCCGAAGAACACCATCACAACCGTGAAGCACGGGGGTGGCAGCATCATGCTGTGGGGGTGCTTTGCTGCAGGAGGGACTGGTGCACTTCACAGAATAGATGGCATCATGAGGAAGGACAATTATGTGGATATATTGAAGCAACATCTCAAGACATCAGTCAGGAAGTTAAAGCTTGGTCGCAAATGGGTCTTCCAAATGGACAATGACCCCAAGCATACTTCCAAAGTTGTGGCAAAATGGCTTAAGGACAACAAAGTCAAGGTATTGGAGAGGCCATCACAAAGCCCTGACCTCAATCCTATAGAAAACTTGTGGGCAGAACTGAAAAAGCGTGTGCGAGCAAGGAGGTCTACAAACCTGAATCAGTTACACCAGCTCTGTCAGGAGGAATGGGCCAAAATTCACCCAACTTATTGTGGGAAGCTTGTGGAAGGCTACCCACAATGTTTGACCCAAGTTAAAGAATTTAAAGGCAATTCTACCAAATACTAATTGAGTGACCCACTGGGAATCTGATGAAATAAATAAAAGTTGAAATAAATCATTCTCTCTACTATTATTCTGACATTTCACATTCTTAAAATAAAGTGGTGATCCTAACTGACCTAAGACAGGGAATTCTTACTAGGATTAAATGTCAGGAATTGTGAAAAACTGAGTTTAAATGTATTTGGCTAAGGTGTATGTAAACTTCCGACTTCAACTGTAATTCAGGACCAAAGTCATAGACTGTTCTCTCTGCTACCGCACGGCAAGCGGTACCGGAGCGTCAAGTCTATGTCCAAAAAGCTCCTTAACAGCTTCTACCCCCAAGCCATAAGACTGCTGAACAATTAATCAAATGGCCACCCGGACTATTTACATTGTCAATCCCGCATTCAAAACTACTGGAAACTCCGAACTGGGAAATCTCAAGACTTCAGTGAGTTCAAGACAACTGGGAAAGCGGAAAAAAACGAGCTCCGACTGGGATTTTTTTTTTTGAACGGTCATCCAACTCTGAATTCTTTCTAGATCTCCGACCTGAAGATCACGGACGTCATGATTCGACCAAATTTTTTCCTGAGTTCATAGTCTTGAAAGCACCATAAATCCAGAGAATGCCAGACTTTGATGACTAAGTTTGATGACAAAATTTGCCCACAAGAAGGACTGCCACGCCACCTTCCTGTTCAAGTGAGCACAGCACAACAAGGTGAGTCCAAAAATGCATTGTATGCTGCTGCATAAATGATGTAATATGCCAGGGATATACAGCGCATTCGGAAAGTATTCAGACCCTTTGACTTTTTCCACATTTTGTTACATTACAGTCTTATTCTAAAATTGATTACAAAAATAATAATCCTCATCAATCTAGACACAATACCCCATAATGACTAAGCGAAAAACTTGTTTCTATACATTTTTTTTTTTTTTACTAAAAACTGAAATACCTTATTTACACAAGTATTCAGACAATTTGCTATGAGACTCCAAATTGAGCTCAGGTGCATCCTGTTTCCATTGATCATCCTTGAGATGTTCCTAAAATGTTGTGCATGTCAGAGCAAAAAGCAAGCCATGAGTTCGAAGGAATTGTCCGTAGAGCTCCGAGAGGATTGTGTCGAGATCTGGGGAAGTGTCTGCAGCATTGAAGGTCCCCAAGAACACAGTGGCTTGCATCATTCTTAAATGGAAGAAGTTTGGAACCACCAAGACTCTTCCTAGAGCTGGCCGCCTGAGCAATCGGGGGAGAAGGGCCTTGGTCAGGGATGTGACCAAGAACCCAATGGTCACTCTGATAGAGCTCCTCTGTGGAGATGGGAGAACCTTCCAGAAGGACAACCATCTCTGCAGCACTCCACCAATCAGGCCTTTATGGTAGAACGGCCAGACGGAAGCCAGTAAATGGCACGACAGCCCGCTTGGAGTTTGCCAAAAGGCACATAAAGGACTCTCAGACCATGAGAAACAAGATTCTTTGGTCTGATGAAACCAAGATTGAACTCTTTGGCCTGAATGCCATGCATCACATCTGGAGGAAACCTGGCACCATCCCTACGGTGAAGCATGGTGGTGGCAGCATCATGCTGTGGGGATGTCTTTCAGCGGCGGGGACTGGGAGACTAGTCAGGATCGAGGGAAAGATGAACGGAGCAAAGGACAGAGAGATCCTTGATGAAAACCTGCTCCAGAGCGCTCAGGACCTCAGACATGGGCAAAGGTTCACCTTCCAACAGGACAACAACCCTAAGCACACAGCCAAGACATCGCAGGAGTGGCTTCGGGACAAGTCTCTGAATATCCTTGAGTGGCCCAGCCAGAGCCCGGACTTGAACTCGATCGAACATCTCTGGAGAGACCTGAAAATAGCTGTGCACCGACTCTCCCCATCCAACCTGACAGAGCTTGAGAGGATCTGCAGAGCAGAATGGGAGAAACTCCCCAAATACAGGTGTGCCAAGCTTGTAGCATCACACGTTTCTTGTCCCCTGTAGCTCAGTTGGTGGAGCATGGTGCTTGCAACGCCAGGGTTGTGGGTTCATTTCCCATGGGGGGCCAGTCTGAAAATGAAAATGTATGCACTCACTAACTGTAAGTCGCTCTGGATAAGAGCGTCTGCTAAATTAAAAACAATGTAATCCATTTTACAATAAGGCTGTAACGTAACAAAATGTGGAAAAAGTCAACAGGTCTGAATACTTTCCGAATGCACTGTATGTCTACTGTAGCTAAGAAAGTAATACTAAGTATATGTTGTGTAGTAAACTGTTAGTAGCCCATGTGCCTCACCCTAATACTTTGGTCCCTTTCCCCCTCATAACTTAGCCTACTGTTCTGACTTCGTGGTGCACATGTAGCCTATAGCCTGTTTTAGAGAAACGTAATCACCAAATACTGTAAGAGCTTTCATTGTCTGCTCATATTCCCCTTTTATTTATAATACCGTTCTGACTTGGTATACAGGGAGAATACTGTAAGAAGGCCCATGTTCTGAATTCTGTCGCTGTACATTTAAAAAGTGCTGAACAAATAGTTATATTGACAATGTCCGTGCTAGCGCGCTCATTAATGTCTTAAATCGAAATTACGGATCGCCTCTTATCCGCTCGTCGTTCCCTTATGCCTTAGTTTGTACATCTCAATTGTCAGTAGAAACCACATTTGTTTAAGCTAGTCAGCCATATCAGCTATGTTTTTTAAAAAGGCAGTAAATTAGGCTGAATGAACTGTTTCGCTGCCAGACAAGGCTCCGCTGATAGCCAGGTGTAGCGGTGGTAAGGATTCACTTCATGGTGCTGAAAAGAAAGCTCTGCTGTTGGGACAGCTTTATGTAGGCCCTAACAGTTTGTGGGCACCGTTTGTCACCGTTATAGTGCAATTAATGTATTGTTTAGTGTTGTGTTGTGTAGTGTAGTGGCTTTGCTGGCATGCATAAAAAAAAAAAAATGGGGAGTTTGCCCCACCAAGATTGACATGCTAAAATCGGCACTGATGGTTCGATCCCCGGGACCACCCATACGTAAAAATGTATGTACACATGACTGTAAGTCGCTTTGGATAAAAGCGTCTGCTAAATGGCATATTATATTATTATTATATTATAATATATAAAAAATGTACGTGACTCGTTTCAGGAAACTAGGCGTATGTCGCACGTCAGTACTTCACAGGAGAGCCATTTGAACTTAAACTTTCTTTGGCAGGAATGCCTTCTGGAACATGTGAACTTTCATGTGCCTTAATAACAAACTTGTATGCCATCTGTAAATACGATTAAAATTGTTAAATTATGAGCCTAGTTGGTTTAGCCACGGAAAAAGACAGCAACCTTCCCGTTAGCCATGATTGGCTGAGATAATGAGTGGGCTGGAGATGCCGAGAGATGAGTTCGGATTGGTCTGCCATGTAGCACACTTCTTTGTCTATAACATGAGCTGGTCAGTATGTGTAGGTAATCCTTTCTAACAAGGCTTTTTTGAAAGATATCACGTAGTAGAACTGCATAAGTGTTGCCCTCCACTTTCTGGAGGTCAAGTTTTGAAATCAGTGGAATTAGAGTATGATAGCTAAGGAGATGGAGAGAATTCTGGCGTTTGATTGCAAATATGCAGGCGGAGTCGAAAAGAGAACACACAGAAGGCTGTTGAATAAAACACCTGTCTCTGGATTACATCTTCAAACTAAGGGCAACCATGGCATCCGTGACAGAGAGGGTGAGGCGTCCATCCATGTATATGGGTAAGATAGTCTAGCTAGCTACATTTTCAGATATTACACGTTTCTAATTTTGTCAGAAAGTCGTTTTCATTTCAAGTTAAAGTGTACTGTTAGCTAGCTAGCTAACGTTAGCTGGCTGGCTCGCTACCTAACGTTACATGTATGATCTGTGTAGTAATATTATTCGTAACTCAGAGCCATTTGCATTGCTAGTTATAGCCTATTATTAGCTAGCTAACATTGAACCTGGTTGGTTAGCTACCTGCAGATTCATGCAGGGTAGTAACGTTATGAGTTGGGATTATGGTTCATTGTTTAGCTAGCTAGCTAGCTAGCTATATGTCTAAACAAAACATTCCACTACGCAAGTAACCATTTCAATAGAATGTTCATGATGTCACTGCGACAACTGTCGATAGATGTAGCTGGCAAATTCGCTCTTCGCTCTTCTCGTCTGAGTGTGCCAGAGTGCAAAATAACTGACAAATTTACGAACGCTCAACACCCGTTGAATATGGCCGGTGTCAGTAAACGTTGGTAAAAATGCTCTGGATAACATAAAAACAGCCTAACCAGCTCTGCTAGGGCGAGTAAAATGGTCAGAGTGAGCTGTTCTCTCATTTGTGTCTGGATGTAGCTAGCAAGCTAGCCAACATTAGCCAGTTAGCTTGGGTACTTGACTGCTGTTATTCGGTCAGAACGCTCGGATCAACCCTACTCCTCGGCCAGAGTGTTCAGTGTGTGCTCTGAACGCTCCGTGAGCGAAATACTTTGAATTTACGAACTGACAATATGACAACGCTCTTGAGTTTACGAACGCCCAGAAAACACTCTGGCACTCCAGATTAAATTTATACCATATACCATTTTCTAGCTTACATTACATTTACATTTGAGTCATTTAGCAGACGCTCTTATCCAGAGCGACTTACAGGAGCAATTACGGTTAAGTGCCTTGCTCAAGGGCACATCGACAGATTTTTCACCTAGTCGGCTGGGGGATTAGAACCAGCGACCTTTCGGTTACTGGCACAACGCTCTTAACCACTAAGCTACCTGCCGCCCCTAGCTCTGTCTCTACTTTTATCCAATGTAAAAAACACAATTTCAAATGTTGCTACATAAGACTGAATCGAGCCGGTCGGTCACATATCTATTTTAATACAGACTAGCTAAAAAACAATACTAATCATTGAAAATTACAAAATTACCCAAGGGATCATGATACTTTCTGGTAAAAAAAAAGTGGGTGTGCAAAAACATACGTTTGCACCCCTATTTTGAAAGTGGGGATGCAGCTGCCCCGTTTGCTTGATTGCTCAGGCACTTATATCTATACTTAGCCAGCATCTCTTTCGGAGACCACCACCACCACCAAACATTTGAGTTAGGATTCTGCCCTAATTACCTTCTCAATGCCATATGCGGAGGAAATAAAACACCACACTACTATAACGTTGTTTATATCTCTTTAAGTAATAAGTATCATATTTTCTCCCTTTCTCCATCCTAATTGTGCATGTGCTTCCAATACATAATTAGGAGTGAGGCCAATCGGCATGGCATCTCCCGGAAGTCGACTGAACTGAAAGTGACACGTACTTCCCCCGCTGACGTGGCCTTTCCATTCAGCTACCTTGGCAGCAGTGGCTACTGATACTTCAGCAGGAGATGCCACGAGTAATCACCTTCATACGGGGAGGCGTCACCTGGGTGCGCTAACGAAGCAGAACTAACCCCTGATCCCACATGACTGGCCATAAACAAATTCTGTAGCGCCGCATTATCCCTGGAACAAGGGATGAGGGGATGGGAGGAAGACAGAGGATGGCCCCTGTGTCGACCTTTGCTAATGCAGGTGCGCTGGGGGGGGGGGGGGGGGGGGGGGGGGGGGGGGGTACTGGCCTATCGGCAATCTCAACGTTCAATATGCAGCAGGATTTACGGCGCAGTTGCTGATTGGTAGTTGGAAACAACATTTATATTTTCCATGACAACATTAAGGAACATTGGGTGCGTGCAAATTTGGGGCAATACAGAATTTTAATTTTAAGAACAACAATGCCGTTACGACCTGCTGCGGTCATTCCCTTGTGAGAAGGCAGTGTCAATGCAAGATCATGTTGTTCAGTGGCTAGAGAGGACTCCATAATGAGAGAGAAATAATGATATGGAAAATATTAGCCTAAAATATTCAATTTTGTAATGCTCATTTCAGTTATATTATTTGTCGCTCCTCTCTTATTAAGAGATGGAGTCCAGACAGGCTACTTTAGGAAACTTTCTGAATGGACAGAGAGAATTAGCAAACTCATACACACATACCCTAAAAGGACCCTTCAATCAAAGCCACCAGCGCATCTCAGACACACACAAATCACATTTGTCCTTTCCTAAAAACGTATTCAAAACCTATGCTCACCTTCAAATATTGGCTGTAGAAAGCAGACCTAGGCTACATTATAGCATAATGAGAAAATAATGTAGCCTATCAAATGAACTTGACAAGGAAGTCTGAAGGGGGGGAGAGAGAGACAGCTGTAGTACCCTATGTTTTTGCACCCCACTTCTTTTTTTTTTACCAGAAAAGTATCATGATCCATTGGGTAATTTGTCATTTTCAATGACTAGTATTGTTTTTTAGCTAATCTGTATTAAAATAGGTATGTGACCGACCGGCTCGATTCGGTCTTATGTAGCAACATTTGAAATGGTGTTTTTTTTTCACATTGGATAAGAGTAGAGACTCAGAGCTAGAAAATGGTATATCATACAGTACAGTTGACATTGCTCATCCATATATGTATATATTCTTATTCCATTCCTGTACTTAGATTTGTGTGTATTAGGTATTTGTTGTGGAACTGTTACATATTACTTGCTAGATATTGCTGCATCGTTGGAACTAGAAGCACAAGAATTTCGCTACACTCGCAATAACATCTGCTAACCATGTGTATGTGACCAATACATTTGATTTTATTTGATTACTAGAGATGTTGGTTATGTAATTATTATCCCAGAATGTGCCTTATTCCAGAGGAAGATTAGCACAGATTCGTTTTTTTCCAAACTAGCCCCTGTAATTCAATTTTTTATTTTTATTCAATTGAGTCTATGACGGAAGCCAGGTGGTTTTTAGTCTAGGCATGAAGATATTTCAACATCATGTCTGGATGATCAAAGGCTACACTGATCACTCGTGCTTAGCTGCCAAATGTATAGGTGTCCCCATAGGCCTGATATTTAAATTGAGGAAATGTGATCATAATCATTATTTTAGCGATCCATGGTAGACGTCCCTCCTTATGAAAAGGCCTCCCATCCTGCTGGATGTGAGCTGATGGACTGCACACTTGCACTTGATATGCGTTTATGGATGAGAAAGTGGACATGCCATTTCCAAAAAAGGAGCTCAGTGAGGAATCAGGGATTCCCTGCTTTGCGATCTGTTGCCTACGTCAACAGCCAGGGTTTCATTAAATAGGCCTAGGCACTATACTTTTTTATTGCATATTTAAACTGACACATTTCGAGTGTTCAACTTCAATTCATTGGCGTAGGACGTGCGTCAGACCAAAATATATTTTTGTCTCTGGCTTGCATAGTACTGGTGGTGGTCGCCTAAATTCACTGTAGTAGGCTAGGCCTAATACAGTGCCTTCAGAAAGAATTCATACCCCTTGACTTATTCCACATTTTGTTGTGTTACAGCCTGAATTCAAAATGGATTAAATATGTTTTTTCTCACCCATCTACACACAATACACCATGACAAAGTGAAAACATGTTTTTATACATTTTAGCAAATTGATTGAAAATGAAATACAGAAATATCACATTTACATAAGTATTCACAATCGTGTCAATACATGTTAGAATCACCTTTGGCTGCGATTACACCTTTGAGTTGTCTTTGGTATGACTGTATTAGCTTTGCACATCTGGATTTGGGGATTTTCTCCCATTCTTCCTTGCAGATTTTCTCAATCTCTATTAAGTTAGATGGGGAGCAGCAGTGTAGGGCTGTCCCCAACAACAACAAAAATATGGGTCGACCGAGAGTCGTCCTGTTCATATTTTTCCATATATAGAAAGACACACCCTATGTGTTTGAATAAAATGCACTATATAAACACTGAGCTTGTCTGATGCTTTAAGCACACTGTTTGATTAAATAATTAAGACACACAATTGACTCAAGAAAGAGCCCGATGGTCACACTGTGTAAAAAAAAAAGACAGCGAATGTCTGTGTGACTGGCGAATGTTGTCTCGCTCTCCTCCCTACTGCAGTGAAAAGGCAACACAGAACAGCAAGTGTTTATTGCGCTGTCAGTGCTGAAGCTGCAACATAATTCCAGCCATTTAGTTTCTTACTTGTTTCTGACTGAAAAGTTCTGTTACCGAAATCCCTAAACATTTCCTATTCCCTCAACCCTTGCTCTCTTTACGTGAAACAAGTAAGCATAGCATGCATGCGACCAATAGGGCCTGACCTATAGCCTTTTATAATCAATTCAATAAATTGGTTATAGTAAACTCTGAATAAAGTAACACGTTACAACAAAATGGATGCATCCGAACATCACACCTGCGGGACAGGTACAGGATGGCAACAACAATTGCCCGAGTTACACCAGGAATGCACAATCCCTCCATCAGTGCTCAGACTGTCCACAATAGGCTGAGAGAGGCTGGACTGAGGGCTTGTAGGCCTGTTGTAAGGCAGGTCCTCACCAACCATCACCGGCAACAACGTCGCCTATGGGCACAAACCCACCGTCGCTGGACCAGACAGGACTGGCAAAATGTGCTCTTCACTGACGAGTCGCAGTTTTGTCTCACCAGGGGTGATGGTCGGATTCGCGTTTATCGTCGAAGGAATGAGCGTTACACCGAGGCCTGTACTCTGGAGCGGGATCGATTTGACGGTGGAGGGTCCGTCATGGTCTGGGGCGGTGTGTCACAGCATCATCGGACTGAGCTTGTTGTCATTGCAGGCAATCTCAACGCTGTGCATTACAGGGAAGACATCCTCCCTCATGTGGTACCCTTTCTGCAGGCTCATCCTGACATGACCCTCCAGCATGACAATGCCACCAGCCATACTGCTCGTTCTGTGCGTCAGTGTTCTGCCATGGCCAGCGAAGAGCCCGGATCTCAATACCATTGAGCACATCTGGGACCTGTTGGATCGGAGTGGGAGGGCTAGGGCCATTCCCCCCAGAAATGTCTGGGAACTTGCAGGTGCCTTGGTGGAATCTGGTGCAGTCCATGAGGAGGAGATGCATCTGATGCAGAACTCAATCACTTTCCTTCTTGGTCAAATAGCCCTTACACAGCCTGGAGGTGTGTTGGGTCATTGTCCTGTTGAAAAACAAATGATAGTACAACTAAGTCCAAACCAGATGGGATGGAGTATCACTGCAGAATGCTGTGATCACCATGCTGGTTAAGTGTGCCTTGAATTCTAAATAAATCACAGACAGTGTCACCAGCAAAGCACCCTCACACCATAACACCTCCACGCTTTACGGTGGGAACCACACATGCGGAGATCATCCGTTCACCCACACAGCGTCTCACAAAGCCACGGCGGTTGGAACCAAAAATCTCAAATTTGGACTCCAGACCAAAGGACAAATTTACACCGGTCTAATGTCCATTACTCGTGTTTCTCGGCCCAAGCAAGTCTCTTCTTATTATTGGTGTCCTTTAGTAGTGGTTTCTTTGCAGCAATTCGACCATGAAGGCCTGATTCACACAGTCTCCTCTGAACAGTTGATGTTGAGATGTGTCTGTTACTTGAACTCTGTGAAGCATTTATTTGGGATGCAATTTCTGAGGCTGGAAGCTCTAATGAACTTATCCTCTGCAGTTGAGGTAAATCTGGGTCTTCCATTCCTGTGGCGGTCCTCATGAGAGCCAGTTTCATCATAGCGCTTGATGGTTTTTGTGACTGCACTTGAAGAAACTTTCAAAGTTCTTGAAATGTTCCATATTGACTGATCTTCATGTCTTAAAGTAATGATGGAATGTTGTTTCTCTTTGCTTATTTGAGCTGTTCTTGCCATAATATGGACTTGGTCTTTTACCAAATAGGGCTATCTTCTGTATTCCACCCCTACCTTGTCACAACACAACTGATTGGCTCAAATGCATTAAGAAGGAAAGAAATTAAACATTAACTTTTAAAAAGGCACACCTGTTAATTGAAATGTATTCCAGGTGACTATCTCGTGAAGCTGGTTGAGAGAATACCAAGAGTGTGCAAAGCTGTCATCAAGGCAAAAGGTGGCTATTTGAAGAATCTCAAATATAAAATATATTTTGATTTGTTTAACAGTTTTTTGGTTACTACATGATCCCACATGTGTTATTTCATTGTTTTGATGTCTTCATTATTATTAAACAATGTAAACAATAGTGAAAATAAAGAAAAACCCTTGAATGAGTAGGTGTGTCCAGTGCTTATAACTTTAAGTTAAAGCTGCAATATGTACCTTTTTGGGCAACATGACCAAATTCACATAGAAATGTGAGTTATAGATTCCCTATATATATACAAGTATGTGGACACCCCTTCAAATTAGTGAATTTGGCCATTTCAGCCACACCCGTTGCTGACAGGTGTACAAAATTGAGCACACAGCCATGCAATCTCTATAAACAAATATTGGCAGTAGAATGGCCTTACTGAAGAGCTCAGTGACTTTCAACGTGGCACCATCATAGGATGCCACCTTTCCAACAAGTCAGTTTGTCAAATTTCTGCCCTGCTAGAGCTGCCCCGGTCAACTGCAAGTGCTGCTATTGTGAAGTGGAAACGTCTAGGAGCAACAATGACTCAGCCGCGAAGTGGTAGGCCACACCAGCTCACAGAACGGGACCGCCAAGTGATCAAGCGCATAGCGTGTAAATTTGTCTGTCCTCGGTTGCAACACTCACTACCGAATTTCAAACTGCCTCTGGAAGCAACGTAAGCACAAGAACTGTTCATCGGGAGCTTCATGAAATGGGTTTCCATGGCCGAGCAACCGCACACAAGCCTAAGATCACCATGCGCAATGCCAAGCGTTGGCTGGAGTGGTGTAAAGCTTGCCGCCATTGGACTCTGGAGCAGTCTAAACGCGTTCTCTTGAGTGATGAATCACGCTTCACCATCTGGCAGTCCGACGGACGAATCTGGGTTTGGCGGATGCCAGGAGAACACTACCTGCCCGAATGCATAGTGCCAACTGTAAAGTTTGGTGGAGGAGGAATAATGGTCTGGGGCTGTTTTTCAAGGTTCGGGCTAGGCCCCTTAGTCCCAGTAAAGGGAAATCTTAACGCTACAGCATACAATGACATTCTAGATGATTCTGTGCTTCCAACTTTGTGGCAACAGTTTTGGGAAGGTTCTTTCCTGTTTCAGTATGACAATGCCCCCGTGCACAAAGCGAGGTCCATACAGAAATGGTTTGTCGAGATCAGTGTGGAATAACTTGACTGGCCTGAACAGAGGCCTGACCTCAACCCCATCTAACACCTTTTGGATGAATTGAAACACCGACTGCGATTCAGGCCTAATCGCCCAACATCAGTGCCCAACCTCACTAATGCTCGTGGCTGAATGGAAGCAAGTCCCCGCAGCAATGTTCCAAAAGCCTTCCCAGAAGGGTGGAGGCTATTATAGCAGCAAAGGGGGGACCAACTCCATGATTAATGCCCATGACTTTTGGTCATGTAGTGTGTCATTCTAAAAAATATAATAATTGTGGGTTTTGAAAATATATTTCACAGTGGTTTAGATGGTACAATGATTCTCTACACTATACATTGCTTGTTTTCTCACATTAACTGAAATTAGGCAAACAATTTTAGCAACCAGGAAGTGGCGAAGCGATTTCTGTATATTGCACCTTTAAGTAACAATAAGAAATCTAAGATGTGTGAAATAAATGACATCCAGCTCAGGGCTCCAGCTATGCATTTAGTTTGCTAACTTGCTAGCTAAGTGGCTAGATGTCAAGAGCACGCTTATTGGTTACAGCAGAGACATTCAATACCCTCCTGGTTTCCACCAGGAACACACTAGGTGCCCGGTATAGAATAAAACACAGGGTCTCAAAGAGTATGTTTTCAGTTTATTTTCTACTCCACCCCTTAATTCCCTAAATAAACTACCTTTTTGGTAGGAATTCAATAATTGCCTCAGTAGTTTGTGCATGAATACACCCCACCCCACGTATTACCACACAGTGTGTGTGTGTGTGTGACCTGGAATAGATCAGGGGTTGTGTGTAGTGACTGCGTCACAATGCCGTTGCCTCAGACACAAACAATAACACAGCCTCAGACAAGCAGCATTGCCGCAATAACCACTGAGGTAGTGAGCCAGCAAACACTGATCCAAAACGGAGGTCGTGTACGGCAGTAAAGGTCGACCAATAAGAGTACTACAGTATGAATCATAATACCCATAAAACCTAGCGTTCAAACAAGGAAATGGTTCCAATCGTTTTTCCACCAATAATTTTTCCCATAGGGGATTTTAGAAACACTTAATATAAGGGCTGTGTTTCGTGTCGGCTTACGCTGACATGTCGTTTTGATAACTATAGCAACCATGGATAAATAAAATAAAATTAGCAGGGGGCTCTCAAAGCTATACAACAAACAAAAATATAAACGCAACATGTAAAGTGTTGGTCCATGTTTCATGAGCCAAAATAAATGATCCCAGAAATGTTCTATACGCACAAAAAATGTATTTCTACAAAAAGAAATTGGCACAAATTTGTTTATATCCCTGCTAGTGAGAATATCTCCTTTGCCAAGATAATCCATCCACCTGACAGGTGTGGCATTCCAAGATGCTAATTAAACAGCATGATCAATACACAGGGCACCTTGTGCTGGGGACAACAAAAGGCCACTCTGAAATGTGCAGTTTTGTCACACAACACAATGCCACAGATGTCTCAAGTTTTGAGGGAGCGTGCAATTGGCATGCTGACTGCAGGAATGTCCACCAGAGCAGTTGCCAGAGAATTGAATATTCATTTTGAGTACGACCAACCAGCCTCACAACTGCAGACAACGTGTATGGTGTCGTGTGGGCGAGCGGTTTGCCGATGTGAACGTTGTGAACAGAGTGCCCCATGGTGGCGGTGGGGTTATGGTATGGGCAGGCATAAGCTACCGACGACGAACACAATTGCATTTTATTGATGGCAATTTGAATGTACAGAGATACTGTGACGAGATCCTAAGGCCCATTGTTGTGCCATTCATCCGCCGCCATCACCTTATGTTTCAGCATGATAATGCACAGCCCCATGTCGCAAGGACCTGTACACAATTCCTGGAAGCTGAAAATGTCCCAGTTCTTCCATGGCCTGCATACTCACCAGACATGTCAACCATTAAGCATGTTTGGGATGCTCTGGATCGACGTGTACGACAGCGTGTTCCAGTTCCCGCCAACTTCCCACAGCCATTGAAGAGGAGTGGGACAACATTCCACAGGCCACAATCAACAGCCTGATCAACTCTACGCGAAGGAGATGTGTCGCTCTGCATGAGGCAAATGGTGGTCACACCAGATACTGACTGGTTTTCTGATCCACACCCCTACCTGGTCTGTGACCAACAGATGCATATTTGTATTCCTAGTCATGTGAAATTGTTGCATGTTGCGTTTATATTTTTGTTCAGTATATATAGGCAGTTTTTGGGTTCCATGTTCCCTACCTCCATCTCTAGAAGTTGACACAACACTTATTCTGTGTCCCAAATGGCACTCTATTCCTTAGATCGGCCCTCGTCAAAAGTAGTGCACTATAAACAGAATAGAGTGCCATTTGGGAGTGACATCTTAGTATATCTACCTCCTCCTCAAGACGTTGTACAGGAAATGTCCTGTTGTGGCAGTGTTAGTGGTGATTTGAATGGAGGCGTGACGTACCGGTGTGTAGCTGTGCACACTGCCTACGCTGTTGAGGTTGACAGAGGCCAGGCTCTGGTCAGAGAGGCTGTTGTTGAGGCTGCTCCGGGGGCTGTCACTGCCCTCCTTCTCTTTCTTGTATAATGCTACCTGGAACAAAGATGGTCGACGTTAATATCACTTGCTGGAACAAAGATGGCCAATGTTAATATCACTTGCTGGAACAAAGATAGCCAATGTTAATATCAGTTGCTGGAACAAAGATGGACAATGTTAATATCACTTGCTGGTACAAAGATGGCCAGCGTTAAAATATCGCCAAAGAGGGCTAAGGGTTTGCATGTCATTATGACAGACGATTACCTTGTTAGTTACAGTGTTGATTGCCAGAGGGGGAGAGGCATCTCCGTACATTATACAGTCCATTCGCAGGGACTCCGATTCCAGGCTGTAGGGGGTGGAGGCCTGGAGGAAAGAAGAGGAGAGAGATATGAGAGAGTGAGAGAGAAAGAGAGAGAGCTCTGCAGAACATTGATGGGATGGGATAGCATCTAATCTGAAGCAAGTACCACCCTCAGTCTGAGGCTGTTATACGATAAATCATCACATATTACATTAATATACAGTACATTCAGATACATTTGTGCATAAGCAAAGAAAATCTGACGGACCGACGGTCGGTTGGTCTCCCAAAACTGCTAACTGTAAGAAGATTGGTTTGCAACAATGCAATCTTTAATTTATGATCAACTCTAAAAGAGAGGAGCGGGTTGCATGTTCCCTGACAAAGGTGCGTATATAGAATTGAGGGAACGGCTTCTTGATTTAAGAGTTGTATGAACATAGGAGCAAGGCAGGAGGAAAGAAGGAAGGAGACTGTGAGAGAATTAGTGCTACTGTACACTTACAAGAGAGGATGGCAGTTGGTGCCTCTCCCCCAACAACTTTTGACTAGCTGTCGGTTTTAACACTTTGAATACACCAGAAGAACAGTTAGACTTGTCACCTTATTAAAACAATGACTAGGACATGTTACTGTAGACTTGTCACCTTATTAAAACGATGACTAGGACATGTTACTGTAGACTTGTCACCTTATTAAAACAATGACTACAAAATGTTACTATAGACTTGTCACCCTATTAAAACAATGACTAGGACATGTTACTATAGACTTGTCACCTTATTAAAACAATGACTAGGACATGTTACTATAGACTTGTCACCTTATTAAAACAATGACTAGGACATGTTACTGTAGACTTGTCACCTTATTAAAACAATGACTAGGACATTTATTTATTTATTTTACCTTTATTTAACTAGACAAGTCAGTTAAGAACAAATTCTTATTTACAATGACGGTCAAACCCGGACGACGCTGGGCCAATTGTGCGCCGCCCTATGGGACTCCCAATCACGGCCGGTTGTGATACAGCCTGGAATCGAACCAGGGGGTCTTTAGTGATGCCTCAAGCACTGAGATGCAGTGCCTTAGTCCGCTGCGCCACTTGGGAGCCCACGTTACTATAGACTTGTCAACTTCTATTAAAATGATGACTAAGACATGTTACTATAGACTTGTCACCTTCTATTAAAACGATGACTAAAACATGTTACTATAGACTTGTCACCTTCTATTAAAACGATGACTAGGACATGCATGTTGTGGATATATACATGTATTAAATTGGAAACAAGACTAAAAGGCTTTGTCTGCGGCAATAGGTCTAGAGAAAACCAATAAGAATACACATACGGAATACACATTCTCTTTAGACAGTGAAAGACAGCTATATTTCTGAGTAAAGCAAAGTACTATATTCCTGTGTGCCAATGTAACAACTCTCAAGTCTGCCCAGCAATGCAACCGAAGCGTAATAAAAGGGTTGAAGGGCTTGCATGTAAAAAAAAATTAATTCATGTTTGTGATTAAAAAAAAAAAATCCAGAAGAAAATACTGTATGTCTAAATGGCAGCCTAGGGCCTTCTGTGGTAATTAACTGGAACAGAAGCCTAGAATACTCTCTCTCTCTCTCCCCCCCTTTCCTTTTCTCTCACTCTTCCTCTCTCGCTCTCTTCTGCTAGCTCTCCCTTCCCTCTTCCCCTCGCTCTCTTCCTCCCTTCCCTAAACCGCTCTTCCTCTTTCCCATGCTCTCCTTCTCCCACTCCCTCTCTCTTCTGCTTCTGCCCACCCCTCTTCCTCTTTTCGTTGGACTGCGATGATTGTGCACTTTGCCGCTCCATGCCTGCTTTGTTTCCGTGGTGATGAGTAGGGCAGAGGTATATGCGTAGGGAGAGAATGGGCCTGCTGCTCCTCGATGCTCAGTGAGCTGCAGCACTGTGTTCAGTCAGGCGCTCAGATCACTGAACACCAGTGGTGTAGTGCTAATTCTTTAGGGGTAGGAGAGACGTGATTTTTCATGGCATGACGTCACCATCTAAAAGAAGATAGGGGATGACTGTAGGCCGAAATGAGACAGCATCATGAGTCGTTTAAAATTAAGCAAAGAATGCAATACTCAATGACATAATAGTTCAGAGCAGTCCGGCCGTGATTTGATGCTATATTTTAGCCGACCCCCCGGTCAATCTGGGATATTTTGCTGCCCGACCTGCTATACCGCTACATTTGTGCACGCCGTGGGTGACCATTAATCGGAACGGTGTAAATTGTATGTCGGCCCATGCTGGGAAAGGTTGGAGGTGTCGAAATCTGGGTTTGACACCAGTCCAGTACTCACCCTTTCTCCAGAGCGTGGCCTCTTCTTTGGCCTGGTGGGCAGTGTGTCCTCTTTAGGGTTGGTGTCTGTAGCCCAGTAGGACCCCTGGAGATGACAACAAACCAGATATTAACACTAGGGCCATACAAATGCTATGAGTTGTTTAAAAGATGCCCTGCTTCACAATCCACCCACTTGATATTAAGTAGTAAACAGTTATACAAATATCATGTTGGGTGTATCATCACACAAAAATCACTCTGCTACATAATAATACATCATTGATTTTCTAAACCAACCCAAGACAACACAGCAGCATCCCACAGCAACAAGACATAAGAAGTGGAGTAAATCAATGACTGTCTGTATCCCAAATGGCACCTTATTCCCTACATAGCGCACTACTTTTGACCATCGCCCATAGGGCCCAAAGGTAATGCACTATATAGAGCATACGTGCCCCTATATCCTTCCCTCTGTTCTCCCTTGTTCTCTTCCTAGGAGGCCCACTGTGCCTGACAGAATAGATTTCATATAGGAACACAAACATGGATTTTCCGCTCTCGTCTCATTGCCAATCTCCTCTCTCTTTCTAACTCCCTTTTTATCTCAGTATCACAACCCAGGGAAGTGGGCTACAGAACAAGTTGATAACGTGAGTACATGTTGTAGCTATCGTTATATCTCGGAGGTTCTCCTTCACAGTGTAAAACAGGAGAAATGTATGGCTACCCTCATGTTGCACATTGGGTCTCCCCTGCAGTTTTATTGATTGGTTTGACTTGTTATGTGAGTTAAGGCTCTGGTCAGGTCCACGTAGAGCTAATCAGGTGAGAACCTTTCTTCGTGTCAAACTACAGGCCTCGGCTGAGGATTCCAGTTGAATTATTGAGTTGATTTCCTCTCAATTCATTTTTCAACGGTTCACATCCCTATGGCCAAGAGAAACACTCTGGTGAAAACCAAATTGTTAAAACCTATAAAGAATGGTAGCCTGGAATTCAGACTCAAAGCACAGCACTCGGCTGATCACAGTAATTACGAGTACAGATACAGTACACTTGTGAGATATCACGTAAAAAAAAAAAAAAAATATGTTCACTTAAAAATGGGACTTCACTAATTGGTTATGTTTATACATTCACAAGGATCAGCAATTTCTTAAACACAGCACAAACAAGGACTATAGAAACCTCTGCTACCAAACACACTTTTCCTGGCACAGCACTTCACCTTTCCAACCACGTATCCATGGACTTCATAATTCATGGTAAAAAATAAGTTCAAACTAGAGAAAATGACGCAGCAGAAGACATACTCAAGTCACTCTGGATAAGAGCTAAATGACGAAAATGAAATGAAAATGAACTAATTTATTGCTACAAACCCACACGGCATTGAATCATAGAAGTACTAGTGGGGGTAGTTAAAGTACATTTTTTTGCATTGACACACTAGCACCATACCATGTTAGGAAAAGTGTCCAGTAAGTTTGCAGTCCAGTGTGCACTCTTCAGTTAAAGTGTACAGTGCTTAGAGCTGTTCGCAGTTGAGTCGGTCAAGGGCTTCATCAAGCATGCCAAAGGACCTCTCCAGGTTGGTGAGCCTCCTGAGCAGGCCACTGTCGCTCTTTCCCCTCCTCCTCTTCTCCCCGGTGTGTGCTTGCCTAACTCTGGTCAGGACTGCCCTGATCCAAGACCAGGAGTTGATTTAGTTTAGTTTATTAGGATCCCATTAGCTACTGCACATGCAGCAGCTACTCTCCCGGGTGTCCACATAAAATGTACAAATACAAGACAAAGTACAGAACCATTATAGACAAGAACAACATCACTCAAAGCTCATCACTAAGCTAAGGACCCTGGGACGAAACACCTCCCTCTGCAACTGGATCCTGGACTTCCTGACGGGCCGCCCCCCAAGTGGTAAGGGTAGGTAACAACACATCCGCCACGCTGATCCTCAACACGGGGGCCCCTCAGGGGTGCGTGCTCAGTCCCCTCCTGTACTCCCTTGTTCACTCATGACTGCATGGCCAGGCACGACTCCAACACCATCATTAAGTTTGCCAATGACAAAACAGTGGTAGGCCTGATCACCGACAACGACGAGACAGCTTATAGGGAGGAGGTCAGAGACCTGGCCGTGGGGTGCCAGGACAACAACCTCTCCCTCAACATGATCAAGACAAAAGAGATGATTGTGGACTACAGGAAAAAGAAGAGGACCAAGCACGCCCCCATTCTCATAGAAGGGGCTGTAGTGGAGCAGGTTGAGAGCTTCAAGTTCCTTGGTGTCCACATCACCAACAAACTAACACGGTCCTAGCACACCTAAACAGCTTCTACCCCCAAGCCATAAGACTCCTGAACATCTAATCAAATAGCTACCCAGACTATTTGCATTGCCCCCCACCCCTCTTTTACACTGCTGCTACTCTGTTTATTATCTATGCATAGTCACTTTAAGAACTCTACCTACATGTACATATTACCCACAATTACCTCGACTAACCGGTGCCCCCGCACATTAACTCGGTACCGGTACCCCCTGTATATAGCCTCGCTATTGTTAATTTTACTGCTGCTCTTTAATTATTTGTTACTTTTATTTCGTATTATTTTATATTGTATTTTTGTGTGTTTTTTGTTGTTTTGGTATTCTTTCTTAAAACTGCATTGTTGGTTAAGGGCTTGTAAGTAAGCATTACTGTCACGCCCTGGCTCTGGGGACTCTTAAATGTTGAGCCAGGGTGTGGATTTTCCTATGTTTAGTTGTTCTATGTTTTCATTCTAGATCGTTTAGATCTATGTTGGCCAGGGTGGTTCCCAATCAGAGGCAGCTGTAGCTCGTTGTCTCTGATTGGGAACCATACTTAGGCAGCCTGTTTTCACTAGTCATTGTGGGATCTTGTTCCGTTAAGGTTTGTGTGTATAACCTAGGACTTCACGTTTCATTTGTTGTTTTGTTCGTGTGTCAGTACTGAATAAAGTATGTACGCTTATCACGCTGCGCCTTGGTCCGCTTCATCATCCAGTAACGATCGTGACAATTTCACTCTAAGATCTATACCTGTTGTATTCGGCGTATGTGACAAATAAAATTTGATGTGATTTTATTTGAACATAAGACATTACATTAAATTCAAAAAAATATTTATAAACAAAATAATAGTCATATACTGGAAAGACACCAAGAGACAACAAAAATATTATTTATACACTATTCCTACAGTATATACAGTGGGGAAAAAAAGTATTTAGTCAGCCACCATTTGTGCAAGTTCTCCCACTTAAAAAGATGAGAGAGGCCTGTAATTTTCATCATAGGTACACGTCAACTATGACAGACAAAATGAGGAAAAAAAATCCAGAAAATCACATTGTAGGATTTTTAATGATTTTATTGGCATATGATGGTGGAAAATAAGTATTTGGCCAATAACAAAAGTTTCTCAATACTTTGTTATATACCCTTTGTTGGCAATGACACAGGTCAAACGTTTTCTGTAAGTCTTCACAAGGTTTTCACACACTGTTGCTGGTATTTTGGCCCATTCCTCCATGCATATCTCCTCTAGAGCAGTGATGTTTTGGGGCTGTCGCTGGGCAACACAGACTTTCAACTCCCTCCAAAGATTTTCTATGGGGTTGAGATCTGGAGACTGGCTAGGCCACTCCAGGACCTTGAAATGCTTCTTACGAAGCCACTCCTTCGTTGCCCGGGCGGTGTGTTTGGGATCATTGTCATGCTGAAAGACCCAGCCACGTTTCATCTTCAATGCCCTTGCTGATGGAAGGAGGGTTTCACTCAAAATCTCACGATACATGGCCCCATTCATTCTTTCCTTTACACGGATCAGTCGTCCTGGTCCCTTTGCAGAAAAACAGCCCCAAAGCATGATGTTTCCAACCCCATGCTTCACAGTAGGTATGGTGTTCTTTGGATGCAACTCAGCATTCTTTGTCCTCCAAACATGACGAGTTGAGTTTTTACCAAAAAGTTATATTTTGGTTTCATCTGACCATATGACATTCTCCCAATCCTCTTCTGGATCATCCAAATGCACTTCAGACGGGCCTGGACATGTACTGGCTTAAGCAGGGGGACACGTCTCGCACTGCAGGATTTGAGTCCCTGGCGGCGTAGCGTGTTACTGATGGTAGGCTTTGTTACTTTGGTCCCAGCTCTCTGCAGGTCATTCACTAGGTCCCCCCGTGTGGTTCTGGGATTTTTGCTCACCGTTCTTGTGATCATTTTGACCCCACGGGGTGAGATCTTGCGTGGAGCCCCAGATCGAGGGAGATTATCAGTGGTCTTGTATGTCTTCCATTTCCTAATAATTGCTCCCACAGTTGATTTCTTCAAACCAAGCTGCTTACCTATTGCAGATTCAGTCTTCCCAGCCTGGTGCAGGTCTACAATTTTGTTTTTGGTGTCCTTTGACAGCTCGTTGGTCTTGGCCATTGTGAAGTTTGGAGTGTGACTGTTTGAGGTCGTGGACAGGTGTCTTTTATACTGATAACAAGTTCAAACAGGTGCCATTAATACAGGTAACGAGTGGAGGACAGAGGAGCCTCTTAAAGAAGAAGTTACAGGTCTGTGAGAGCCAGAAATCTTGCTTGTTTGTAGGTGACCAAATACTTATTTTCCACCATAATTTGCAAATAAATTCATTAAAAATCCTACAATGGGATTTTCTGGAATTTTTTTTCTCAATTTGTCTGTCATAGTTGACGTGTACCTATGATGAAAATTACAGGCATCTCTCATCTTTTTAAGTGGGAGAACTTGCACAATTGGTGGCTGACTAAATACTTTTTTTCCCCACTGTACATATTCATATTCTTATATACAGGACAGTTAAATCAAATCTTTAGAAAGAGGAGAGGTGCTGAGATACAAGACGATTTTATCTGTTTTTGCTTTTTGCCTGAGTAACCTCTGGTGGCAGAACATTCCACGATGAGATGGAAAGGGTATACCTAATCAGTTGCACAAATGAATGCATTCAACCGAAATGTGTCTTCCGCAATTAACCCAACCCCTCTGATTCAGAGAGGCGCGGGGGCTGCCTTAATCAACGTCCATGTCGTCGGCGCCTGGGGAGCAGTTGTTGGGGGGTTAACTGCATTGCTCAAGGCCAGAACGGCATATTTTTGCACCTTCACGGTTCGGGGATTCGAACCAGCTACCTTTTGGTTACTGGCCAACACTCTTCTATACATAACTGAGAGCGACACAATAAAACTGATTTTGGTTTGGGTACCGTGAAGAAACTCATAGTGGCATGTCTGGTGGTGCCTTCAGAAAGTATTCATACAATTTGACTTAATTCACATTTTGTTGTGTTACAGCCTGAATTAATAAGTGAAAACATATTTTTAGTAATTTTTGCAAATTTATTGAAAATAAAATATAGAAATACACTACACACTACCAGTCAAAAGTTTAGACAAACCTACGAACTCATTCAAGGGTTTTCCTTTATTTTTTTTACTATTTTTTACATTGTAGACAACAAAACTATGAAATAACACATATGGAATTATGCAGTAACCAAAAAAGTGTTAAACAAATCAAAATATGTTTTATATTTGAGATTCTTCAAATAGCCACCCTTTGCCTTGATGACAGCTTTGCACACTCTTGGCATTCTCTCAACCAGCTTCACCTGGAATGCTATTCCAACAGTCTTGAAGGAGATCCCACAAGCGCAAACCAGATGGGATGGTGTATCGCTGCAGAATGCTGTGGTAGCCATGCTGGTTAAGTGTGCCTTGAATTCTAAATAAATCACAGACAGTGTCACCAGCAAAACACCCCCACACCATAACACCTCCTCCTCCATGCTTTACGGTGGGAAATACACATGCGGAGATCATTCGTTTACCCACACCGCGTCTCACAAAGACACGGCGGTTGGAACCAAAAATCTCAAATTTGGACACCAGACCAAAGGACAAATTTCCACCGGTCTAATGTCCATTGCTCGTGTTTCTTGGCCCAAACAGTTCTCTTCTTCTTATTGGTGTCCTTTAGTAGTGGTTTCTTTGCAGCAATTTGACCATGAAGGCCTGAGTCACACAGTCCCCTCTGAACAGTTGATGTTGAGATGTGTCTGTTACTTGAACTCTGTGAAGCATTTATTTGGGCTGCAATTTCTGAGGCTAGTAACTCTAATGAACTTATCCTCTGCAGCAGAGGTTGGGCTCCCGAGTGGCGCAGCGGTCTAAGGCACTGCATCTCTGTGCTTGAGGCGTCACTACAGACCCCTTGGTTTGATTCCAGGCTGTATCACAACCGGCCGTGATTGGGAGTCCCATAGGGCAGCGCACAATTGGCCCAGCATCCTCCGGGTTTGGCCGGTGTAGGCCGTCATTGTAAATAAGAATTTGTTCTTAAATGACTTGCCTAGTTAAATAAAGGTAAAATAAAATAAATAAACTGTAACTGGGTCTTCCATTCCTGTGGCGGTTCTCATGTGAGCCAGTTTCATCATAGCGCTTGATGGTTTTTGCGACTGTTTTGAAGAAACCTGAAATATTCTGTACTGACTGACCTTCATGTCTTAAAGTAATGATGGAATGTCGTTTCCCGTTGCTTATTTGAGCTGTTCTTGCCTAAATATATACTTGGTCTTTTACCACATAGGGCTATCTTCTGCATACCTACATTGTCACAACACGGTTGATTGGCTCAAACACGTTAAGAAGGAAAGAAATTCCACAAATTAACTGTCATTTACATTTACATTTAAGTCATTTAGCAGACGCTCTTATCCAGAGCGACTTACAAATTGGCATCAAGGCAAAGGGTGGCTATTTGAAGAATCTCAAATATTAAATATATTTTGATTTGTTTAACACTTATTTGGTTACTACATGATTCCATATGTGTTATTTCATAGTTTTGATGTATTCACAAACTGGCTCTCATGAGGACCGGTACAGGAATGGAAGACCCAGAGTTACCTCTGCTGCAGAGGATAAGTTCATTAGAGTTACCAGCCTCAGAAATTGCAGCCCAAATAAATGCTTCACAGAGTTCAAGTAACAGACACATCTCAACATCAACTGTTCATAGGAGACTGTGTGAATCAGGCCTTCATGGTCTAATTGCTGCAAAGAAACCACTACTAAAGGATACCGATAAGAAGAAGAAACTTGCTTGGGCCAAGAAACATGAGCAATGGACATTAGACCGGTGGAAATTTGTCCTTTGGTCTGGAGTCCAAATTTGAGATTTTTGGTTCCAACCGCCGTGTCTTTGTGAGACGCGGTATGTGTGAACGGATGATCTCTGCATGTGTATTTCCCACCGTAAAGCATGGAGGAGGAGGTGTTATGGTGTGGGGGTGCTTTGCTCTGTGATTTATTTAGAATTCAAGGCACACTTAACCAGCATGGCTACCACAGCATTCTTAGTGGGACTATCATTTGTTTTTCAACAGGTCAATGACCCAACACACCTCCAGGCTGTGTAAGGGCTATTTTACCAAGAAGGAGAGTGATGGAGTGCTGCATCAGATGACCTGGCCTCCACAATTCCCCGACCTCAACCAAATTGAGATGGTTTGGGATGAGTTGAACCGCAGAGTGAAGGAAAAGCAGCCAACAAGTGCTCAGCATATGTGGGAACTCCTTCAAGACTGATGGAAATGCATTCCAGGTGAAGCTGGTTGAGAGAATGCCAAGAGTGTGCAAAGCAGTCATCAAGAAAAAGGGTGGCTATTTGAAGAACTTCAAATATAAAATATATTTTGATTTGTTTAACACTTTTTTGATTACTACATGATTCCATATTTGTTATTTCATAGTTTTGATATCTTCACTATTATTCTACAATGTAGAAAATAGTAAAAATAAAGAAAAACCCTTGAATGAGTAGGTGTTCTAAAACTTTTGACCGGTAGTGTAGATGAAGGGGAGGAGACAGGTTAAAGAAGGATGTTTAAGCCTTGAGACAATTGAGACATGGATTGTGTATGTGTGCTATTCAGAGGGTGAATGGGCAAGACAAAAGATTGCCTTTGAACGGGGTATGGTAGTAGGTACCAGGCGTGCTGGTTTGAGTGTGTCAAAAACTGCAATGCTGATAGGGTTTTCAAACTCAGCAGTTTCCTGTCTATCAAGACAAGCATACCCATAACATGATGCAGCCACCACCATGTTTGAAAATATGAAGAGTGGTACTCAGTGATGTGTTGTGTTGGATTTGCCCCAAACAGAACGCTTTGTATTCAGTACATAAAGTTAATTTCTTTGCCACATTTTTTGCAGTTTTACTTTTGAGCCTTATTGCAAACAGGATGCATTTTCTGGAATATTTTTATACTGTACAGGCTTCGTTCTTTTCACTCTGTCATTTAGTTAGTATTGTGGAGTAACTACAATGTTGTTGATCCATCCTCAGTTTTCTCATATCACAACCATTAACCTCTGTAACCGTTTTAAAGTCACCATTGGCCTCATGGTGAAATCCCTGAGTGGTTTCCTTCCTCCCGGGCAACTAAGTTAGTTCTGTTTGTGCAGTTAAGGGCAAGGTGTGCAGCTTGGTTTTGAGCCAGCTGCAGCTTTGCTAGTTCTTTCTTTGCTGCACCTGACCATATTACCGGACGGTAATCAAGATGGGATAAGATCAGTGACTGAACAAGTAGTACAGTTGATCTTTGTGTAAAAAACGCTGAACATCTTTTTATAAACAGACATGCCTCTCTCCCCATCTTCACAACAACTTTGTCAGTATGACTTAACCATGATAACTGACCATCCAATGTTACTCCTAAGAGTTAAGCTTCTTCAACTTGTTCAATTGTACACCCTTTATGCACTCCAGTTGAGGTTTAGGTCTAAGAGAATGCTTTGAACCAAATACAATGCTTTTGGTTTTAGATAAATTTAAGACTAGCTTATTGTTAATTATCCATACTGACACTGACTGTAACTCCTTGCTAAAGCCGATGTTACACAAAGCATTCTGAACGCAATTTATGTTGCGTGCAACAAAGTTGCATCTGGGTTGCTCTGTGTGTCACCCCCCAAAAATTGTGCATAGACGATGTCGTCCCCACAGTGACTTTAAGAACGTATTCCAACCAAAAACCCTGGATTACAGGCAATATCCGCGCTGGGCTAAAGGCTAGAGCTAGCGCTTACAATGGGACACGGACATGGACGCATATAAGAAATCCCGCTACAACCTCCGACGAGACATCAAACATGCAAAAGGGAAATACAGGAGAAAGGTGGAATCCTACGGATTACAAAGGGAAAGCCAGCCATGAGTTGCCCAGCGACGCAGAATTCCAAAACGAGCTAAATACATTTTATGCTTGCTTCGAGGAATATAACACTGTGCCTTGCGTGAAAGCTCCTCCTTTTCCGGATTACTGTGTGATCTCGCTCTCTGTGGCCAATGTCAGCAAAACATTTAACCAGGTTAACAATCACAAGGCTGCCGGGGCAGACGGAATACCAGGACGCATTCTCAAAGCATGCACAGACCAGCTGGCAGGTGTCTTCACAGATATTTTCAATCTCTCCTTGTCCCAGTCTGTAATCCCAAAATGTTTCAAGCTGACCACCATTGTCCCTCTTACCAAGAGCTCCAAGGTAACCTGACTAAAAACCCTGTAGCACACATCTGTAATTATGAAGTGCTTTGAAAGGCTGGTCATGACACACATCAACACCATCATCCCAGACACCCTAGACCCACTCCAATTCGCATACCGCCCCAACAGTTCCACAGATGACACAATCTCAATTGCACTTCACACTGCCCTCTCCCACCTGGACAATAGAGGAAATAACTATGTGAGAATGCTGTTCATAGACTACAGCTCAGCGATCAACACCATAGTCCCCTCCAAGCTCATCACCAAGCTAGGGACCCTGGGATTTAACCCCTCCCTCTGCAACTGGATCCTGGACTTCCTGATGGGTTGGCCTCAGGTGGTGAGGTAAGGCAACAACAACTACGCCACACTGACCCAAAACACGGGGGCCCCTCAGGGGTGTGTGCTTAGTCCCCTCCTGTATTCCCTGTTCACCCGCGACTGCGTGGCCATGCACAACTCCAACAACATCATCAAGTTTGCTGACGACACGATGTTGGTAGGCCTGATTACCGAAGGTGATGAGTCAGCCTACAGGGAGGAGGTAAGAGACTTAGCAGTTTGGTGCCAGGATAACCACCTCTCCCTCAACGTCAGTAAGACCAAGGAGCTGATCGTGGACTATAAGAGAAAGAGGGGAGAGCACGCCCCCATCCACATCAACGTGGCTGTTGTGGAGCGAGTCAAGAGCTTTAAGTTCCTTGGCATCCACATCACTAAAGACTTAATATGGTCCACACAAACCCGCAATGCCTCTTCCCCCTCAGGAGGCTGAAACGATTTGGCATGGGCCCTCAGATCCTTAAAAATGTATACAGCTGCACCATCGAGAACATATTGATAGACTGCATCACCGCTTGGTATGGCAACTTGACCGCAAAGCGCTACAAAGGGTGGTGCAAACAGCCCAGTACATCAATGGGGCCAAGCTCCCTGCCATCCAGGACCTCTATATCAGGCGGTGTCAGAGGAAGGCCCGGAAACAAGCCATAGACTGTTCACTCTGCTACTGTCCGGCAAACGATACCAGAGCATCGGCTCTCGGACCAACAGGCTCCGAGACAGCTTCTACCCCCAAGCCATAAGACTGCTAAATAGCCAGACTGCTAAATAGTCAATTAATTGTACTCGAACTATCTGCACTGACTATCTTGCACTGACCCTACACACACTTACTAGACTTTATATACACACACTCACTCACACACACACTACACTCCCACACAAATCCCTCACACATTCAAACACTACATATGCACACACACACAACACACATACCGACACAACAAACGCACACACACACTTTAACACTCATCATTTGCTGCTGCTACTCTGTTCTTTATTTTACTCTTATTATTATCTATTCTGATACCTATTCACTTTATCCTGCCTTCATGTACATATCTACCTCAAGAACCTCTGCACATTGATCTGGTACTGGTACTCCCTGTATATAGCTCCATTCTTGTGTATTATATTTATTCCTCTAGTTACTATTTTATTTTGGATTATACTTTTTTAAAACTCTGCATCGTTGGGAAAGGTTCGTAAGCAAGCACTTCATTGTAAAGTCTATACCAGTTGTATTCGGCGCATGTGATGAATAAAAATGGTATTTTATATTATTTGATGAAACCATGATGTGATGTATGACAGAATTGGATGTTGCATGCAATTGTGTTTGAATTGCTTCGTGTGTCAGCAAAGTTGCTTAAGATGATGTCACACAAATTGCGTCCAAATTGCTTTGTTTGACACAGGCTTAAGAGTGTCAGTCTCAATTAGCAAATTACTAATCTCATTAACTTTGATTCTGAGGCTACATACAGTATATATTTATATATATATATATATATATATATATATATATATATATATATATATATATATATATATATATATATACACACACACACACACAGTGGGGAGAACAAGTATTTGATACACTGCCGATTTAGCAGGTTTTCCTACTTACAAAGCATGTAGAGGTCTGTAATTTTTATCATAGGTACACTTCAACTGTGAGAGACGGAATCTAAAACAAAAATCCAGAAAATCACATTGTATGATTTTTAAGTAATTCATTTGCATTTTATTGCATGACATAAGTATTTGATACATCAGAAAAGCAGAACTTAATATTTGGTACAGAAACCTTTGTTTGCAATTACAGAGATCATATGTTTCCTGTAGGTCTTGACCAGGTTTGCACACACTGCAGCAGGGATTTTGGCCCACTCCTCCATACAGACCTTCTCCAGATCCTTCAGGTTTCGGGGCTGTCGCTGGGCAATACGGACTTTCAGTTCCCTCCAAAGATTTTCTATTGGGTTCAGGTCTGGAGACTGGCTAGGCCACTCCAGGATCTTGAGATGCCTCTTACGGAGCCACTCCTTAGTTGCCCTGGCTGTGTGTTTCGGGTCGTTGTCATGCTGGAAGACCCAGCCACAACCCATCTTCAATGCTCTTACTGAGGGAAGGAGGTTGTTGGCCAAGATCTCGCGATACATGGCCCCATCCATCCTCCCCTCAATACGGTACAGTCGTCCTGTCCCCTTTGCAGAAAAGCATCCCCAAAGAATGATGTTTCCACCTCCATGCTTCACGGTTGGGATGGTGTTCTTGGGGTTGTACTCATCCTTCTACTTCCTCCAAACACGGCGAGTGGAGTTTAGACCAAAAAGCTCTATTTTTGTCTCATCAGACCACATGCCCTTCTCCCATTCCTCCTCTGGATCATCCAGATGGTCATTGGCAAACTTCAGACGGGCCTGGACATGCGCTGGCTTGAGCAGGGGGACCTTGCGTGCGCTGCAGGATTTTAATCCATGACGGCGTAGTGTGTTACTAATGGTTTTCTTTGAGACTGTGGTCCCAGCTCTCATCAGGTCATTGACCAGGTCCTGCCGTGTAGTTCTGGGCTGATCCCTCACCTTTGTCATGATCATTGATGCCCCACGAGGTGAGATCTTGCATGGAGCCACAGACCGAGGGTGACTGACCGTCATCTTGAACTTCTTCCATTTTCTAATAATTGCGCCAACAGTTGTTGCCTTCTCATCAAGCTGCTTGCCTATTGTCCTGTAGCCGATCCCAGCCTTGAGCAGGTCTACAATTTTATCCCTGATGTCCTTACACAGCTCTCTGGTCTTGGCCATTGTGGAGAGGATGGAGTCTGTTTGATTGAGTGTGTGGACAGGTGTCTTTTATACAGGTAATGAGTTCAAACAGGTGCAGTTAATACAGGTAATGAGTGGAGAACAGGAGGGCTTCTTAAAGAAAAACTAACAGGTCTGTGAGAGCCGGAATTCTTACTGGTTGGTAGGTGATCAAATACTTATGTCATGCAATAAAATGCAAATGAATTACTTAAAAATCATACAATGTGATTTTCTGGATTTTTGTTTCAGATTCCGTCTCTCACAGTTGGTGTACCTATGATAAAAATTACAGACCTCTACATGCTTTGTAAGTAGGACAACCTGCAAAATCGGCAGTGTATCAAATACTTGTTCTCCCCACTGTATGTGTATATATATATATATATATATATATATATATATATATATATGAGCTAACTTTAACCCTTTCCTGGGTAACTTATCTAAAACGGAACTCAATGATAATAGGCTGTAATTCTAATAATTATATTTATGTTAATAACAAACAAGGAATAAATTGATTTTTTTGCAGATTATGTACAGCAGATGCCTTCTCTGGTTTAGCTCAGCTGCAGCAGGGTGCTGTATTCTTCGTGCCACTTCTGCATAGCTGTCTTGCTGGACTGTTGGTCTCTTCTGATTGGGGTGTTGTCTTATTAGCATGGGGAGTAGCGAGATGCTGTCCACTCTGGAAGCACAGCCTCTAGAGAGCTAAGCATTGTTGCTCTGAATAGTGTGGAAGGGCACAACTCCACATGGCAACAGGGTGGACATATTGATTTTTGTATTAGGAAATCTCTCAGCAGCTCTGGCTGCCACTTGCTGCATTGGAGGACCTACATGTCCTCTCATTGTCATCAAATCATTAGTAGCTGTGTGAATTACAATATGTTCGGCCCCATTTAAGTTGTTGCTTGACAGACTTTTCAAGGCATTTGCTGTTGTTGGGCACCATAGCTTACTGACTGACATGCCAGGGAATAGCAGTTGATCTCTGAGAAATGTCCCATTGGAGTCACATAAAATGGAGGCCATAGGGTGTGCTGCCTGTGTGCTGCTGTTGTGTGCTGTGGTGTCTGGAATGATGTTCTTTGGATGGAACGGGGTGGGGACCATTGGTGGCCTTTCCTTGGGACCACAGGTGGCCTTCCTCTCTCCTGTGGATTCCAGTATGGCTCCGCTGGCTCTGGTGCTGAGATGTGAGAATCTTGGAGAGGTCTGGTAAGACCTATCTGATGAGGGGAATGTGCTGTTGTGGGAGGAGGAGTTGTTCTGGGTCTGGTTACTGACCTCTTGTGCGGAGTCTGTGTGAGTTCCGGAGGTTTACTGTGAGAAGCAGTGGTACTGCCGATGAGGGGAGGGGAGGGTGTGGTAGTGAAGGTTTTGGTAGGCTCCACTCTTAAGAGTGTGGAGGGTGGTTTCTCTGTGTTGTAGCAATTCTATGACTGCTGACAACTCCTTTTGTAGCTCCTCCCTGATGTCAGCTTCGTCTCTCCTTGCGATGCTCTCGACCGTTGCCAGTTTCTGTCTCAGCTCGTCCTTACACTGCCTCAGAACTGTCACCTCACCACGAAGCTCATTCACCTCTAACTCCAGTAGGAAGATACTCCAAAAGGCCTGGGACAGCTGGGACAGGCTGTCACTCTCCATGTCTGTGAGGGTAGCTTGGTTATTAGATATGAGGGTGGGGGGACTTTTGGAATTAACTGATTTCTCATCAAGTCTGTCTTCTGGTTGAAGTGTAGCAGTTAGAGTGCCATTCTCTTCCAAGGTGTCTGCTAGCTCTTTCAGTGATGTAAACTCATGTACTGTATATAGAGGATAAGTGCAGCTTCTACGCCTTGAATCATTACGGTGCCAGAGTTGTAGGTGTTAATGGTGAAGGGTTGATTATCAGGCTCCTATTCATCAAATACCAAGATCTGTCGACCATTAGTGATTCCTCCCTTTTTGGCATGACCAAAATGTCTACATGCGGTAGAATAGCAAGCAAGAAGTATGCTCTGTATAGAAGAGCAGGTCAGAGATTGTATTCTTGTCTCTGGGTTTTCCCTTAGCAGCATTTGTTTGTGATGCTGTTTAGAATGTTCAGAGTTCTTTTCTACTGGTAAATCAAATGAAATGGGTCAAGCTCCAGCTAATGTTGCCAATGTTATTTTTAGAACTTGTTTTCATTAGAGTTGATTGATTTTCATTAATGCGTGCACTTATTCAAATAATGCACCAACTGTGTACATTGATTTTTAAATAATGCACTTTTTAGCTATGAAATGTGTATTTTAGTGTGATTAACACTGTACACATCAATTACAATGTACCGAATGATTCTACCTCGCCTTTAAGTGCTTTTGTGTCTGTTTGTTTTTTGTTTTTCCTTATCAAGGCCTGTACTGTCTTTTCTCCATAAATCCTCCAAAACAATTCCTCTTTCTGTTGGTTTATCCTCTGTTTTTCCTCATTCTTCTCGTTGTGCATGGAGGAGTCTGAGCATGTCGAAATGACGCATCATATTCAACCTAATTAGTAGGCGATTTTATAGAAAACACACTTGACTCTGTTTTCTCCTACCAAAACATGTGGTCATTCAAGGTTAAATATGTACTAAGACTATAATGGTCAGGGAATACTTACTTTTCCAGGGTCATCTTTAGAGCGAGGCACTTTGAGAAAACACTTGTTCAGGGACAGATTGTGCCGTATTGAGTTCTGGGAGGGATGAGAGAGGGGAGAGAGGGGAGAGAGAGAGAGGAGAGAGGTGAGAGAGAGAAGAGAGGTGAGAGAGAGGTGAGAGGGGGGGAGAGAGAGAGAGGTGAGAGGGGGGGAGAGAGAGGGGGGAGAGAGAGAGGTGAAAGGGGGAGAGAGAGAGAGAGAGAGAGAGAAGAGAGAGAGAGAGAGAGAGGGGAGAGAAAGGGGAGGGCTGTTAGACACGTCTTCATCACAGCAACATTACAGCATATCATTTTTCACTTGGTCTGTATGACTAAGACAAGTAAATATTTTACTTCGGGGCACGTTACCAGCCTGCCACACACCCTCCCAGGTACCTGTTAGTTAGGCCTACTAGATGTACCTGCATTCTCTATTTCGCCATGCTCTATTGTTTTCCAGGTCAAGAAAAGTTTAAGAGTATTAGATGGTTGACTATGGAATGGAGACAGTATGTGATTTAGCAGTACTAAACATAAAGCATGCCATGACTAGCATCACTGAATTGAATTGGATTTTGGGTTAAAGAAATATATTTTAAAAAAATACACTGAGTGTACAAAACATTAGGAACACCTGCTCTTTCCATGACAGATTGACCTGGTGAAATTGTACATTTACATTTTAGTCATTTAGCAGACGCTCTTATCCAGAGCGACTTACAGGTGAAATATACTTCACCTGTTAAATCCTGTTAAATCCACTTCAAATCACCTGTTAAATCCACTTCAATCAGCGTAGGTGAAGGGGAAGAGACAGGTTATAGAAGGATTTTAAAGCCTTGACACAATTGAGACGGGGAGAGGGACATCACTGGGACACCTTAACTACAGGTCTAAGCATTGACAGTGACAGACACATCCTGTATGGATAGGGGGTTGAATACGTGTCACTGCTTCAAAACAGCCAAATACATTAACATTCCATTTGATGGAGCACCACCCCACCCCCTTAGAGGAGAATGGGAAATCTGCTGTTAGTGAAGCCCATTGTGTGAGTGATGGGCACAAAGAGATTCAAGAAGAAGGAGCTTCCGCTGTCCCTGGGGACCTAGCGAGGATCCGTGTGTGGAAGAGATGTCTACAGACCGACAAAACAAACACTATAGTGCAGCAAAGCATGTGGTTGAATTTGAACGAATCGGGTGGATTGACAGACTGGGATTGAAAGGAAACTTAGATAGCAGAAACTAGTGAAAGGTTGGCAGAAAGGTTGGCCATGGTGACCGGCTCCTTCCTTCGTGGATTTGTCGACCCAGTCCTCTTTCACCTATCAGTGGTTATACATGGCAAAACCTCATTTTTTTATTGAATCAGATCTACCTACAATCCTCTTCGCTGCATCAAGCATCCTTGACGTCATCTCCCTAACGTCACATCCAGACAAACATATTCTTCCTCCTAACAAAGCGAAGACCCAACCGTCATCAGAATAATATAAACTAATTTAATTTTATATAATTTCAGTTTATGTGGCAAAACAAGCAATGTGTAGTGTAGAGAATCATTGTGCAATCTAAACCGCTGTGAAATATATTTTAAATACCCCAAAATATTGTATTTTCAGCAGTTTGAAGCTGGTGTACAAAACCGAAAAGTAAAAGACGCAAAAACAAAACTTTAGAACGGGAAGCATAGAAGTTGCGCACATAGAACATACCTACCTCTTCTTAGACCTGCTTTTGTTAGGATCTAGATTTCTGGTACAAACTCCAGGCGGACACCAAGAAAGCTCAAACTACATTCATTACATCCAACTGGATGCTTCAGTTGAGACCATAAAGATGCAGAGTCACACAGTCTTTTAACTACAATACAGTACAGTACATTGGGTAATGTCACAGTAGGGTGGGCCAGATGGCGGTCTGGCTCAGTCTTCCCTTCTTGAGATACGATTCAGCTGTCTGCATCCTGTTATCCTCACTCCACTCCCTAGCTACGCCGTTGAAAGTCATCTCCTCACTTCCCACAGCAACTGGACAGTAACTCAACCTCGACCTTATCATAACCCAGACAGGTGGTTTCTATTCATTTCTGCAAAACATGTTCTAACCCCTGACAAATGGCTCATATCCAACCCTTATAAAAATCATTCTTACACCCTTTTGTACTTCCCCTAGGCCTAAATACAATACACATAGATAATTCAACCTAACCCATAACAGGATAATTACTACTGATACGCTAATTATACAAGAAAAGGTGCTCAGGTCATAACGGTCTCCAACACTTTCAATGAGAATGACAGATCTATAACTCACATGTCTATGTGAATTTGGTCGGGTCGCCCAAAAAGTTACATATTGCAGCTTTAAATATTGTTCAATATAATTCAAAACTCTTATTCTCATTTTAAGCCAAAATGATGCAGTGTCGTTAACATTTAACAGGTATGAACTGTACTCAATCAATTATATAAAATGCAAGATGAAGCCTTGCAATTGTGGCATTCCAGACCCTTCTGAAATCAACACCACATTTACATTTACATTTTAGTCATTTAGCAGACGCTCTTATCCAGAGCGACTTACAGTTAGTGAATATATATATTATTTTTTTTATACTGGCCCCCCGTGGGAATCGAACCCACAACCCTGGCGTTGCAAACGCCATGCTCTATCAACTGAGCTACATCCCTGCCGGCCATTCCCTCCACTACCCTGGACGACGCTGGGCCAATTGTGCGCCGCCCATGAGTCTCCCGGTCGCGGCCGGCTGCAACAGAGCCTGGATTCGAACCAGGATCTCTAGTGGCACAGTTAGCACTGCGATGCGGCGCCTTAGACCACTGCACCACTCAGGAGACTATTCACTGAATAACACCGCTGGGTGAATAGTGAAGGAAATATGACATTGGACTTGTGCCTATCCTCCTGAGAATAGAACTACGGAAATCCCTCACTCTAAATTAAAACTTAAATACAGACTAGTAATACTGATTAATATAAAATATTTGGAAGTGAAATTCAGATTTAACAAACATCTATCTGATCATCTACAGAATTGTCTGTAAAAGCCAAGAAAGGTTGACAGTGGAGCCTAAGGAACAGGTGAGTGGACACACACACCTGGCCAGCAGACAGGAAAGGCATAATTTAACAGGGGATGCTGGAATGCATGTGCCTTTAGAAAGTATTCCCACCCCTTGGCTTTTTCCACATTTAGTTGTGTTACAGCCTGAATTTAAAATTGATTAAATTAAGATTTTGTGTCACTGTCTACACACAATACCCCATAATGTCAAATGGAATTATGTTATGTTTTTAGACATTTTTACAAATTAATTAAAAATGAAAAGCTGAAATGTCTTGTGTTAATAAGTATTCAACCCCTTTGTTATGGCAAGCCTAAATAAGTTCAGGAGTAAAAATCTGCTTAACACGTCGCATACAGTGCATTCGGAGATTATTCAGACCCCTTGACTTTTTACAAATTTAGTTACGTTACACCCTTATTCAATTTAATTCATTTTTTCCCCCTCATCAATCTACACACAATACCCGAAAATGACAAAGCAAAAACAAGTTTTCATAAGTTTTTGCAAATTTATAAAAATCAACAACTGAAATATTACATTTACATAAGTATTCAGACCCTTTACTAAGTACTTTCTTTGAAGCACCTTTGTCAGCGATTACAGCCTCAAGTCTTCTTGGGTATGACGCTTTAAGCTTGGCACACCTGTATTTGGGGAGTTTCTCCCATTCTTCTCTGCAGATCCTCTCAAGCTCTGTCAGGTTGGATGGGGAGCGTTGCTGCACAGCTATTTTCAGGTCTCTTCAGAGATGTTCGATCGGGTTCAAGTCTGGGCTCTGGCTGGGACAATCAATGACATTTAGAGACTTGTCCCGAAGCCACTCCTGCGTTGTCTTGGCTGTGTGCTTAGGGACGTTGTCCTGTTGGAAGGTGAACCTTCACCCCAGTCTGAGGTCCTGAGTGCTCTGG